AAAAGTCATAGACAACAAGGATTATGTTCAATTCAGGGAAATCAAGACAACAATTACAGGAAAACGCATAAGCAAGGACAACGCAATAGAGGAATGTGGAAAGTTTGTAGTATAGTATAGCAATAGGAAGCGGTTAGTGTCCCATGAGTCTATTGCTTTAAATTGTCTGGGTTTTGGTCTTATGTATGAGAAGTTACAAATAATGCACTGTGGCCACACTGTGGGGTCTGAGTAGGTTCCATTTGCTCTTACTTGGAAATGTCTGTCTTTGAGAAAGTTCTTGCTCCACTGTCAGTAGAGGCCTCGGATTTTGCACTGATCCAGTTTGTATAACAGCCTTTCATGAGGAATAGTATCAAATGCTTTTTGGAAATCCAAGTATAGTATATCCACTGGGTTCTCCTCATCAATTTCTTTAGTCCATGCCTTAAAGCAATTTAGTAGATTTGTGGTAGTAGATCTACTTGGTCGAAAGCCGTGCTGTCTGAATGGTATAATATGTGTGTCTAGGAGGAACGTGGTCATTTCTTTGACAATAATTTTTTCCAATAACTTACACAGTTGTCAGGCTAATTGGTCTAAAGGTAGCCGGATTATACTTGTCGCCGCTTTTGTAAATTGGTATTACAATTGCTTGGGTCCATATTTCTGGTAGAATACCCTCTGCAAGGAAACTGTTAAATAGTGATTTTATAAGTGGTGTTATGGATGGTGCACAATTTTTCAGAAATACTGCAGGTATTCCATCTGGTTCTGAACTGGAGTGAGTTTTCAGGTCTTTTAAAGCTTCAGTGACTGCTTCTGTGGTTATGACTATGTTTTTTAATTGGTCTTTGTTTCGTGTTTGTTGCAGCAACGAAGGAAAGTCGGATAATGATTCATTTGTGAAGACTGATTCAAACTGACTTGCAAAGATATCTGCAGTGTTTTTTGGGTCCCCCAATATCTGATGTCTGTTGGTCTTTTGAATCCTTTATCACGAGATCATGAAGCTGGCTACTTAGATTTCCCTTTATGTAGGAGTAGAAATGTTTATTGTTCTTTTTTTTTTATTTTATATTTTGAACAGTTTGTTGTTTTTAATAGGGATATCCATGATTACCCTACAAGAAATAATGATCATCTCTTTATTCCGAGAACGAATTTTAAGAGTACAATGAACATCATCCTTGTGAGGTTTCTACTTATTTATATTTTGTAGATAGTTACTTGTATGTCCAATAGGCATTTTATCTTATATTATATTTTTTGTGTATATTAGGTATACCAACCTATTTAATAAAGATATATTTCATTTCATTTCATAGTTAAAGGTATTAGATCCCCGATCAGGGCCTGGATTCCAAACCCACGATTTGATAGTATCGTCAATCGTCAGATATGTAGGTACTTTTGCTCAATTTTATTTGGCTTGTTGATAGACGATATTATCTGAGTTGTGGGTTCGGAATTCTGGCTCAGATCTGTACAAACTAACTAAAGACCATGTATAGTATTTTTATAAATGGCGACAGAATAGGTAGAAGAAAGCAAATAGCAAAAAAATAACCTCTCGAGAAGGATGAATGGCTATACTTGAGTGACCAGCCAAACCTAATTTATAGTTTTTCACCTATACAGAATAGTTATACTTGCATCTTGAACTTGCAACCTATAGAAAGCTCTGAATCTGAAAACAGTTTTCGTTAAATGTCAAATCAAAAAATACAAGAAATCAAATTTTCATTGACAAAGCTTATGTTTCCAATATTGTGAATTATGATTTATTTATCAATGTAAACAAAAATATCAGCCATAACCTTGTTAGCCCTTTTTTAAAACTAAATAAACAATATGTTTCACACATGAATTATCCATTTCTAGGTGTAAACAATCTTGAGTTGGAAATTGGACTGACTGCAGTGGACCCTGACTGTTACAGAGTTTATGCAGACCTATTTGTGCCTATTATTGAAGCATACCATAAAATAGAAAAAGATACTCCACAACCGGGAATTGACAATTGGGGCTTTATCCCTGATTTTAGAAATGTGGACCCCAATGGAGAACATGTTGTATCCACAGGAGTAACGTGCTTCAGGAACCTGAGAAGCTATCCATTTAGTCCGCTTATGAGTGCAACCAACTTTAGAGAAATTGAAGCCAAGTTGTGTATTGCTTTAGGGCAACTTTCTGGAGAATTGTCTGGGAATTACTATCCTTTGGGAGGTAAAAAATGTTTCTTTTCGTTCTGGTAGGTTAATAACAGCCAATAAAATAAAGGCAGTTAGGCCAATGCATTTTTTAAAACGTTCTCATGCTGGAATCTACCAGAACATTATGTTGAGAATAAACTTACTCATTATGATTTTCAGATATACCAGAAAACACCCGATACAAATTCATCGCTGAGAATTACTTCAAGGATGGTAAACGTTTCATAGGATCTGCAGACGGTAATCGCTATTGGCCAAGCGGTAGAGGGCTTTACTATAACCCTATAAAAACCTTCATGGCTTATATTGGTGAGCAAGATCATATCATTCTAGTGAGCAAGCAACCAGGAGGAAATGTAGGAGCAGTCTTCAAAAGGTTGATAACGGCTCTTGAAACTCTCCAAGAATGGGTCGAGTTTTCTACTGATGAACGCTTTGGGTACTTGACATCTTGTCCTTCGAATGTCGGTAAGTTTATTCAGATTCAGATTTGGCTTTAATCCCAAAACGACAGTTGCGTGGATCGATTTTCTTTTATTTTCATGTCTTCGTTGAAAGTTTTTTCAAATGGGTTTCTTTATAAATGATAGTGATATTACCTTGCATTTTTTGTGACTTACACCTCAATTGAAATTTCCAGCAGAATTTCTTGATCTTGCAAAGAATATTATTACTACCGTTCTCTTATTAGAGTTTATCTTACCTATCAATTATTCAATGGGAAAATACTCTTTGCTTCGAGTTCTATAATACTTTATTAACCTTGGATAAATTCTGGACTTTTCCCGCTGACGTTTCGGTACCAAATCTGCTACTGTTGAACAGCCATCTCAAACGTACAGCTTTAATATTTTTGCCTTAGGTATGTCTTGTTAATATGTCCAGAATTTGGTCTTTTCTGAGGACCCTATAAAAAATTGTAAAAATTTCTATAATAGGGAGGGGGAACTAAAATGATGTAATAACCAACCTGTTTTTACTTACCACCTCAACCCCAGCCACCCCAACTAAATATTCTTAAATAGCAACCCCCTACTGGTAATACCTTATCTGAAAGCTCTTAAAAAATGCTTTTCAGTGATACCCCACAAAGCTACATTTGATGTGAAAATTTTTGATTGAATAAATAAAACATTATTTAATAATTAAATTAAAATTGTATTTTTTTAAACTCATTTTTTTCAGATAAAAATTCCAAAGCAACAAATAAACAGGCCTAAACTGTTTAAGCCTCAAGATTAATGCTACAATAGTAACAGGAATGTTTTTGAAGATCTATTAATGTAATAGTCAAAAATTCAATTCACATTTCAATGGTTTTATTTTGAAAAACTGATAATTATTATTATATTGAATTTTAGCTTGATACCATTGAAAAGCATTTTTTAAGAGCTTTCAGATAAGGTACCTATCACAAGTAGGGGGTTGCTATTTAAGATTATTTAATAAGGGTGGCTGGGGGTGAGAGGGTAAGTGAAAACAGGTTGGTTATTACATTATTTTGGTTCCGCTCCCTATTATAGGAATTGTTTTGAGCGATTTTTTATATTTTTTTTAGTTCCGGTAACAGATTTGGTACTGAAATGGCGAAACGTCAGTGGAAAAAGTCTAGAAGAAGGATTCACATTTATATTTTGTTGTAGCTAAGCAGTTTTTTACTAAACAACAGTTCTTTATTATTATCGTATAATTCTATTGCCAATTTTTTTTTCCAATTTAGGTCAAGCAATCCGTCCATATTTCCATATTAAAATACCCAAGCTGGCTTCTGACAGGCCTAGGCTCATAGAGCTGGCGGCCAAGTACGATATGGCGGTAAGAGAAATCATAGAAGAGCCAATCAACATGCATGGAATCTATGAGCTATATAATGCGAAACGTTTGGGGACTACCGAATATCACAGTGTGAAGGTAATGACTCAAGGCGTCATTAAAATTATTGAGGCCGAGAAAGCGGCCCCACCGGTGGATTATTATAAACTGTACGGCCATTCAAGCTCAGCGGAGCAAAGCGGCATTTAATTATGTTATATAGTATTAGTATACAAAACTTTCTAAGTATAAAATATCTAAAAAAAAAAATTGAACATAATTTTACTGTAAGTGATCTGTAAAATTTCGTAATATATTATTATTTAGTATAGTATTTTAGTGTAGTATTTTGGTCGCTCAGAATATTATTTTCTTATCTTATTCAAAAATTGATTCGAATAGGTGTCTCTTTGTGATATTGATATTACCTTGCAAAGTGGTTGATGTTACAAGTTTTTGGAATTTAACTTATAATTTAATTATAGCATAGTATTTTAGTATAGTATTTTGACAGAGAATTTCTGTATTGAGTTGAATGAAATATGTTAATATCATAATATGTATTGGAAAATAATAAATTTGTTAAAAATAACGAAAAGACAAGACATATTTTCAATAGCCAAATATGCTTAATGCGTCCATGACCAAAAAAATGCAGAATCAAACATGGAGATTTTAAACTGTCAGTGATTTTGAAAAAATGTTATTACAATACAATACAATACAAAATACAAAAAGTTTATTCATGATATTCTATAATAGTTTTCCAAAACATTTGATGTGAAAATTTTTGATTGAATAAATAAAACATTATTTAATAATTAAATTAAAATTGTATTTTTTTAAACTCATTTTTTTCAGATAAAAATTCCAAAGCAACAAATAAACAGGCCTAAACTGTTTAAACCTCAAGATTAATACTACGATAGTAACAGGAATGTTTTTGAAGATCTATTAATGTAATAGTCAAAAATTCAATTCACATTTCAATGGTTATATTTTCTTTCCAAGTAAAATTCTGATATTCTGGTGAAAATCATGTCTGAACCCATGCAAACCCATTGCGGCACTTCAATGCCCGTTGCGGACGCTATCGAGGGCTGCTTGGAGTCTACCGAGTCTGAACCCATACAAACCCATTGCGGAACTTCAATGCCCGTTACGGACGCTATCGAGGGCTGCTTGGAGTCTAGACTTGAAAGACTGGTAGAATCAGATTCCAAGTCCTTGTTGAAGAAGTTCTTTACCAGGGAAATATTCGACAAACTGAAGATGAAGACTACTAAATACGGGGCCACGCTGCAAGATTGCATTGATCCTGGTAAGTCAATAAAAAATTTACAATTCATAATACTTTCTGAATGCCATGGAACCGCAGGGCCTGCAAGAGGCCCCCTAACGCACTGCAGGTTTCTTTTTAAAAAAGATTTCATCAGATTCTGAAATAAGCTAACTGTATAAAACTATGAACCCGGGCCCCCATATTCTCACAGGCCCCGGGAATTTGTTTCGTCTGCCTCCCCCTTTTGTCAGGCCCGTGGAACCGCTAATAATTTTCTCTAGTGAAAAACAGTACTTGGAAACAAAAAAAAAACTTTAGAGGCCCTTCGTTCAACAACAATAGACTCACAAATAATACAAACCTGTTGACTCTTATCAGGGTTTTTCCATAGGAGTCTTAATAAATTAGATTTTCAAAAAAGCTACAAATTGATACACTCGTACTACTCTAAACTGACGTGCACATAGAAAAAGTTAAATTGAAAAAATGGGCAGATGGTAAGTGGTAGACAACCACGATTACGTTCAATTCAGGCAAATAGAGACAATAAATACAAAAAAGCACATAAACAAGGACAATGCAATAGAGAAATGTGAAAAGCTAGTACTGAGGGAAAGAAAAAGTATACTTTTATGAGAAAGGTATTAGATCCCCAATCAGGGCCTCTATTCCAAACCCACAATTTGATGGTATCATCTGTGGTCAGATATGTACTTTTGCACAAGTTTATTTGGCTTGACGATAGACGTTATTATCCAATTGTGGGTTCCATCCATGCTCAAATCTGTACAAACTAAAGACCATGCCAGTATTTTTATAACTGGCGACAAAATAGGTAGAAGAAAGCAATTAGCAAAAAAATAACCTCTCGAGAAGGATGAATGGCTATACTTGAGTGACCGGCCAAACTTAATTTATAGTTATTTACCTATACAGAATAGTTATACTTGCATCTTGAACTTGCAAAATATAGGAAACTCTGAATCTGAAAACATTTTTCGGTAAAAATCAAATCAAAAAATACTTCATCATCCAAGAAATCAAATTTTTATTGACGAATTTTATGCTTATACAAAAATACCAGTTATAATCTTGTTGGCCCTTCTTTAAAACTAAATAAACCATATTATGTTTCACACATGAATTATCCATTTCTAGGTGTAAACAATCTTGAATTGAAAATTGGACTCAGCGCAGTCGACCCTGACTGCTACAGAGTGTATGCAGACCTTTTTGGTCCTATTATAGAAGCATACCACAAAGTTGCAAGAGATACTCGGCAACCAGGCATCGGAAAATGGGGCCGCATCCCTATATTTCAAAATGTGGACCCCCTAGGAAAATATGTGGTGTCCACAGGAGTCACATGCTTCAGGAACCTGAAAGGGCATTCATTTAGTCCTTTTATGACTGAGAGAAGCTATGATGAAATGGCAACTAAAGTGTGGATTGGTTCAAGACGATTTTCTGGAGACTTGGCGGGGACTTATTATTCATTGCTAGGTAGGAAATGTTTTTTTAGTTATGGTTAGCCAATGAAAGTGAGTTGCTCATGCCAATGCATTTTGAACATTATGGTGGGAATAAAAACACACTCATTATGATTTTCAGATATACCAGAAAATTGCCGACGTGCATTCATCACTGCAAATTACTTCAAGGATGGCAAACGTTTTATAGGAGCCGAAGACCCTAGCCGCCATTGGCCAGTTGGTAGAGGCGTTTACAAGAATCATTTAGAAACCTTTTGGATGTATGTTGGTGAGGAAGATCATGTCACTATAATTAGCAAGCAACGAGGAGGAAATGTAGGAGCAGTCTTCAGAAGGTTGATAAGGGCACTCAAATATCTCCAAGAATAGACGGACTTTTCCACTGATGAACGCTTTGGATACTTGACGGCTTGTCCTTCAAATGTGGGTAAGTTGATTCGGATTGGCCTTGAATTATTATTACTATTATTATTGGTTTCAGTAGCAGGCGGATTCCAAATTCGATGAGACTACTGAGTCTGTTGAATTTGTTCTTGGTTGATGAGTTTACGGTGTCGCTACTTAAAAAGTTCCAATGATACATCACCCTGTTGGACAAGAAGTTTCGTCTAAGTATTTTATTGCACTTTTCTTTGGATAGCTTTTTGTTGTGACCTCTTAAGTTTTGATTAATGCTGAGTTGGTATATGTATATTGGTTAAGTTGCCGGCATAGTATCCATTGCGAATTTTGAATGTCTCGATAAGATCTCCTCTAGTTCTACGGTCCTTCAGTGTGGTCAGGTTTCATTGAGTCAGTCTGGTTTCATATGGCAGTTCTTCAAGTTCACTAGGTAGTTTGGTAATTCGCTGTTGAACTTGCTCGTGTTATTCAATGTTCTTCACATAGTAAGGGATCCAGATTGATTGGAAATACTCAGGTTTTTTTCTAATGTAGGACTTATACAATTCCAAAAAAGGCTAGATATTGCTTTGGAAAATGTCTTCAAAATTGACTAAACATTTTTCAAGTTAAAGCGAAAATCACAATGCCACAACTTCAATTTGTATGACTCAGAATGTAAGTTTTTGTAGGAACCAGAAATTTGGCTTAAACCCAAAACGACAGTTGCATGGAAAATCTACTCGGATCGATTTTCTTTTATTTTCTTGTATTAAAAAGTTTTTTCAAATGGGTTTCTTTATCAATGATAGTGATATTACCTTGGATTTTTTGGGACTTACACCTTAATTGAAATTTCCAACAGAATTTCTTGATCTTGACAATAATTATTACTACACGCTCTCTGATTAGAGTTTATTTTACCTATCAAATTATTTAATAAAAGAAAATACTCCTTGCTTCGATTTCTTTATTATTTTAATAAAATAATACTTGATTAGCCTTGGATAGCTTTTTTTGAACCTAAACTTCATTAAAAAAAAAATAGACTTTTTCCGATTCCACCCGAACTAAATATTCTTAAATAGCAACCTACTACTTGTGATACCTTATCTGAAAGCTCTTAAAAAATGCTTTTCAATGATAGGTACTCTACAAAGCTACATTTGATGTGATAATTTTTGATTGATTAAATAAAAACGAGAATAAAAAAACATTTATTAATTAAATTGAAATTGTATTTTTTTAGACTCAATTTTTTCAGATAAAAATTCCAAAGTAACGAATAAGGTCTAAAATGTTTAATCCTCAAGGTTAATGCTACGATAGTAACAAGAATGTTTGTGAATACATATCTATTAAAGTAATAGTCAAAAATTCAATTCACATTTCAATGGTTTTATTTTGAAAAACTGATAATTATTACATGGAATGTTAGCTGCATACCATTGAAAATCATTTTTTAAGAGCTTTCAAATAAGGTACCTATCACAAGTAGGGGGTTGCTATTTAAGATTATTTGATAAGGGTGGCTAGAGGTGCAACATTTTGGTTCCCCCTCCCTATTATAGAAATTGTTTTCAGCGATTGTTTAAATTATTTTCTGGTTCCGGTAACAGATTTGGTACCGAAACAGCGAAACGTCGGTGGAAAAAGTCTAGGAGAAGGATTCACAATTTATTGATATTTTGTTGAACCAAAGCCATTTCTACTGAACAAGAGATTTTTATTATTATTATCATATAATTCTATTGCCAAGTTTTTTTCCATTTTAGGACAAGCAATTCGCCCATATTTCCATGTCAGAATACCCAAACATGCCTAAATTGGTAGAGCTGGCTGCCAAGTATAATATGGGGGTGAAAGAAATTACAGAAGAGGACATGCAAGGTGTTTATGAGCTAAATAATGCAAAACGTTTTGGCTGTAAGGGTAATGACGCGTGGCATCATGAAAATTATTGAGGCTGAGAAAGTGGCACCAGCAGTGGATTGTTTGAAACCATACAGTCGATCAGGCTCAGCAAAGCAAAGCAGCTGATCTTGCAAGTTTTTGGCATTGATTTATATTATATAGTATTAGTATAGTATTTTAGTCTAGTATTTTGGCCGCTCAGGTTGTAGGTTTTAGTTTTTGAACCCGAAATTTTGTGAAATTTTTTAAAATCACAAAACGACAGTTGTGTGGAAAGTTAACATGCTTTAACATGCTCATTCTCCAGTTTTATTTTCTTCTTCTTTTAAAATTGATTCAAATGGGTGTCTCTTTGTGATAATGATATTACCTGGCAAAGCGGCTGTTGTTACAAGTTTTAGATTTAGGGTGTTTCGTAGGTTGTGAGGTCCAAACTATATTTATCGACCTACCAAACGCCCTGAGTAGTAATATAGTATTCTAGTCTAGTATTTTGACTTCTTTTATCTTCTTCAAAAGTTGATTCAAATGGGGGTTTCTATGTGATATTGATATTACCTTGCAAAGCAGTTGATGTTACAAGTTTTTAGCATTTCATATTTATATAGTATAGTATTTTAACACAGAATTTCTATATAGAGTTGAATTAAATATTTCAATATTATAATTGTATTTGAAAATAATAAATTTGTTGAAAATATTGAAACGACAAAACTTACTTTTTAATAGCCAAATATGCTTAATGCATCCCTGACCAAGAAGCAGAATCAAACATAAGGATTTTAAACTACTGTCATTGATTTTGAAAAAAATGTTCCTAGGACTTATCATTTGCTTGAAACAAAAAACAATTGCATTGTTTTATTGCTTGATTTTTTTTTTCTAAATCGTTTGGGCGAAAGCTCCTTACAATAGGATGATCTTGTATTCTTAATGTGGCTTCTTTTATGCTCACCATCTAACACCGCTCTGGGAATTCAAATATTTGAAGATCAAAATCTGTGAAGGAACAAACCGTCTCTATAATATTGCTATTTCTCTAAACTTTTGTAATTTCGTAGCTCTGTTGGTTGTGCTCAAATTTGATCCTATTTCGTATGCTTTTATATTTCGTTTTCGTTCCTCAACTAGGTTACTCTTGAGCTGATAGAGGCAATAATCATTGTATATTGGCATTAGGTATTTCCCAAAAACACTGCATGTGTGCTAAAGCTTCAAGTACAATAGAATTAAAAAAAAAAAAACATGGAAAAGGGATTGACGTAAATATATGAAAAATTAGTTACAGGCACTGTTCCGATAATCGGAACAAGTCTTTTGAAATCCCCTTTCTGTCTGAAGTGACGAACGGGTTGTTATATGAGAGATATATGCAGTAGGCGATATATTCTATCCATTAACAACAGAACAAAAGTTCAGTTACTAGGAAGTTTGTTGATAGAGTTTCCAGAGAACAATTTTTTGAAGAAGGTTTAATTTTTCAATGTGGTTCATCGGGACTTACTTTCGGGCCTTGAATCGGCTTTATTTGTCTAGATTTAGTTAATGATCTTCGATTTTTAGCAATTGTCAAGTTGATCAAAGGGTAAATATAAATTTTGAATAAAATATACCGAAAACAAGAATACAGTCCATAAATCTGATCTGTCGTGCCCCGACAGGCACCAAGCGTCTTAGTTTAAAATTGGTCTAAGAAAATTTACAAAGACGAAACCAAGCTTTTGAACTGCAATCGAAATACACATGTCAAAAAGCGTGTTGGGGATATGTGTGTAAAACCAACAATATATTTGTAAACTTTTATCATTATAAAATATAATCAATGGCATATTGCAACCAAATTCGAGACAGTATTGTGTATCAGTTAGATCGGAATTCAAGAAACGCAGACATTTTGAACATAGAGATTATAGGCAGAGGACTTTTGATGCAGTTGAAATAATATATTTCACAATGGTCTCATAATGTATAACAAACTGCCCGCTAATGTAAATCTACAGCAAACCACAGACAATTTTGAGAGAAGCTGTGAAGTTCAATATAAGACAATTAAACTTCGTTGACCAGTCAGAAACAACTACTACTACCTGAAAAAAACTTTCTAGGCATTCAATAAGAATATAAAATTGGGCATCTTTACTAAGTCAAATAAGAACTTACCTGATTTTCCTTATTCTTATCCTTAAAACACAGAGTAAACAAACTAACGTGAGTGGATTTCTCCCTGTCCACACTTCTTGCTTCAATCGCTTGAGCTAAATATTTGTTTACTCGGTTGGAGGGTTGGTGGTAAACGCTGGAATGCCTCTTTTTGAATGGCCTTTTGAATTTTTCTGTCACTTTATTCTAAAAATGCACGGAAAATAATTGTATTAGGTAATGTCCGAAAAAATTATTGTTTTTTTTTTTGAAGCAGAGAGACAAAAAGAATCTTAGAGGCATTGGGATAGACGATTTTTGGTACTGGCTTATTGGTATATCATGGATATCTTGATATTTACATTTATTTATTCAAATTCCAAATATTTGACAAAAAAGGGAGATTCATATGAAGTTAAAATAATAATAAATGCAAACATATTCAAATTAAGGAATCATTTCTTTTATCCAAGTGAGTAAGAATACTAAACCCACACCCAAAAATTGTGGTAAATGTCCAGTATCAAAGATCGTCCATTAAACATAGCCCATCCCAATAAGGCTTAATAAAAGGCCATAAGCTTGAAAGCATATTATTTTGTGTGCATTATCAGATGTATAGGTAGTAAGGTTTTAGAAAAATCACATACAAAGTAAGCAGTTTTGTTAGTAAGTACTTCCTATAAAGCTGTTTTAAAAGGTTAAAATTTGAGTTTTTTTTTAAGAAGGTATATCGCTTGAAATTGCTTTTATACAGGTATTAAAATATAGGAAAATAACTAGCGCAAACTAAAAATAAGAAAATATAAAATGTAGCTAACCACTGGAATTAAAAATTTCATATTCTGCTTTTAGTATAATTAAAAAACATTCCCTTGAAAGTTGGAAATTAGAAATAAAAGATTTTTTTTAATTTTTAAAGCTTTAAATTATAAAAAAGCAGAGAAATAACCAAAATTATAAAAATTGAATTGAAAAAAACATCTATGTACCTACATACATACTTTCAGTTGAAGTCATTATCGCTATTTCCTTCATTTACTGGCAATTGATGTTAATTCAAACAAAAATCGCAATGAATATGTATCTCTCCCAAATTATGCAAAATGCCAGAAGTTTAACTATCTTTTCCCTGTTACATATTTAGTTCCCTTGTAAGCATAATGAGGCGCATTTATGTATGCAAAACCCGCATACAAATAGTGCAATTTTCCCGATATGTAGGAGTATTCGACTCCTGATATGTTAATTTAACTTTGACAAGCGTAGTTAATTTGAAAAAAAAAGGATTTTTGCGATCTAGGACGAGACTATAACATTTTGCCTTATGTAATACATGTGAGTTATGATTATTAACTTTTATTCACAAACAAAAATTCCGGCCCCATTAGGTTGATTAATTTTGATTGGAGTAGGTACGGAAAACTATCAAGCTTGATTGTTTCAAAAAAAAAACGTTCGCAGGACGTCTTGTTGACTTTGAAGAATACCATAGGATGTCCCAAGGATTTAACAAATATCTTATCTACGGTTGTGTGTTGAATGAGAAGTAAAAAAACTTCACTAATTCGACATTTCTGAAAACCTTGTGTCCAATCAAATTTCCGGAAATATTTCAATTTAGGGACACTTCCTGTTCCTACGTATTGGTTGAATAAATATTTTAATGGATTAATTAATTTTTCCTCAATATTTAAATGGTTCCATAACAAGTTGATCTGGACCGAGTGCTTCAATTTTTTTCAATGCTGTTTTTATTTCAGCTTTACAGAGAAGTGACATAATTTCTGTGCAGTGTTGATTTGAAAAAATAAATTTTCCCATCAGATTTTTTATTTATATATTTGTTCTGGGTTGGACATTTTCATCTGACGAGGGAGAGAGGATTTTTAGTTCAGCTTTCCCTTCTGCTAATCTCTTTCTAAAAACTGTAGGCCTTTGTTTTGTTCAACATTTTCCACATTCTTCTAATTGTATTGTGCTGACTTTTCTCACTCTTGTTCATCCAATTTTCCTGCATGGCTTTTGAATATTTTTTGGTTGTCTCCATAAAAGAGTTTGATGCTCTTGATTGAACTGATCTCACTAATCCCTTTTCTGAAGTAGGTACCAACCTTTTGGATTGCAATCTAGCAAAAACATTGATCGAGTTTATTCCATCACGTTCTTCAGGGGTATCATACAACTCACATATAAACATCTCTCATTTGATATACTCATTATAGTACAGTCATAAGGATTCTTTTACTGAAAAAATCTGAGTGAGCTGTAGCTTTGCATACACCTTTACTTTTATTATCTACTAATGTATTAAAAGTCCCCAACGATATCTTGTTAGAGTTTCAAGATATTCAAGGTCAAATGTACAGGGTATTTGATTATATTTTGCACCATACCTACAGCCTTTACTATTTAAGATAGAAAAAAATTTCAAATACAAAACTTGACAGTTTTTTTCTATATTTTCTGATAATATTATCAGGAAAAACAAAATCGCATCGGAAAATGGAGAAACGTAGACAACTTCGACTTTTTTAAATGGAACACCCTGTATATTTTGCGATAAAATGATAGTCCTTTTCTTCCTGATTACAAATATATACAATATGTTGATCACATTTGCGTGAGCTATTTTTGACATATCTCAGCTTAAACTATAACTAAATTGCAAACAAATTTTATAAAGATAGAGATCCTTATGGAACTTCTCTGCAAATTATTTATAATTTAACCTGAGATATGTCAAAAATTGTTCACGCAAATGTTATTAATATCATATATTTGGAATCAGAAAGAATAGATCTTTCATTTTATCGCATAATATACAGGGTGTTCCATTAAAAAAAGTCAAAGTTGCTTACGTTTCTCCATTTTCCGATGCGAGTTTGTTTTTTCTGATAACGTTATCAGAATATATAGAAAAAAACTGTCAAGTTTTGTATTTAAAATTTGTTTCTATCTTGAACAGTAAAGGCTGTAGGTATGGTGCAAAATATAATCAAATACCCTGTACATATATGTAATATAATTTGTATAAAACACAATTTTTTTTTCTATGTATGTCCGTTATAGACTTTGAAACCATTCGACCGATGTGCCCCAAACCAGTTTAATATGAAAGGCAATGATGAGAAGAAGGTTTTAGACCACTAATGACAGGTGTCAACTGTCAAATGTGATCAGTGCACTTTTTGAACCATTTCTTTGCGCAACGGATTTTGCTGAAATTTTGCATACATTTTGAGTTCGGGTGATAATACAATTTGGAATTCTCAAAAGCTGTCAAATGTAATTTTGGACAGATGTTAGCTATCCAAAAGGGCGTCATATGCCTGCCCGGTGTTCAGAGTCGGAAACGCCATAGGACGTTGAAATAATTTGACAGATGTCAAATGTGACAGATGGAGAGGTGGGCAGGTTATCAGGACTACCCCTGTCTTTAAAAATTTGCTTTTTTCAACCAATAAACAAAATGTACTTATTTTTTTGGCGTAGTAGCACACGCCGGGAATCCGCTAGTAAGAACATAATCCTAGAAAACTTCTTAGTTCATGTTCCTCGCGTGGTTTTGGCCAATCCCTGACAGCATCTATTTTTCCTTCCATAACTTGTTTGCCATCTCCAGATACCACGTGCCCTAGGAATTCCACTTTTTTTTGGAATAGAAAACACTTATTTGGATTGAGTTTTAGGTTGGCATTCCGGAAGCGGTCAAAAACTTTTTTCAGCTTATTGAGATGTTCTTGGAATGAATTTCCCATGATTATCACATCATCTTAATATACCAGACAAGTTCTCCATGTAAGGCCTCGTAAAACTAGATGCATCAGTCGCTCAAACGTAGCGGGAGCATAACACAGTCCAAAAGGCATTACATTTAAACTGGTATAACCCACTTCCGTTACTAAGGCAGTTTTCTGTTTGTCATCTTTGTGTATTGCCATTTGCCAGTATCCACTGTTAAGATCCAAGGTGGAAAACCATCTGGATCCCGGTATAGTTATTAATATATCGTTGGTATCGTCTATCCTCAGAAGAGCAAGCTGTCCTTCTTGGTGACGTCATTAAGCTTACGGTAGTCCACACAAAATCTAAGACTTTCCATCTTTCTTTGTAACCAATACTACTGGCGCAGACCATGGAATATTTGACTCTTCAATAAATCCCTCTTGAAGCATATTATCAATTTGGTTTTCCACTTCCTGTTATTTAGCTACCCAACAAACACAAGTACGTCTTTAGTACGTCCATAATTCGTACTTTTTCGGACGAAAGTACGTCCGGGGACGTACTTTTTAGGTCCCGCCGACGTACGAGGGACGTCTTTAAGACGATCGTTTTCCACAAAATAGTGCGTCCCACGTACGTACATTCAGGGACGTACTCAGTACGGCTTTTTAGGTAGGTGTTGGGGACGTACATTAACGTACGTATTTAGTATAGCTTTTTAGGAATGTGTTTGGGACGTACAGGGTTTTCCCATATATTTTTTTGCACCTTACCAGAACTGGTTGATTGAATAGGTATCAAAAATATGTAAATAAAAATGTTATATTTACACCTTTTTGATACCTATTCATTTAACCTGTCCAGATGGGGTGCAAAAATATATGGAGAAAACCCTAAACATAGAGGTACGAGGTACCTACGTATTTATGTGTAGGTATCTTTATAGTGAAAAATAAAACCATATAAATATTTATTGTATTTTCAAGTTACAATTTTCATACTCAATAAATGCCTCAACAATAACACTAAAAAACTGAAAAAAATTAACACAATATCAAATATACCATACTCTTAAACTTAACCTTATTGAACAACAGTACATACCTACCTAATATAACAAAAAAAATGAAGGAAAAGTGGAGAAAAATTCCAACCTAAAAAAAATATACAGAAATAGATAGGTATTCTACAAACATAATAATATAGAGAATTGTAAAGGGGCATAAACCAGAAAAAGTTTCACACAGTAATAATATTGGTTAAAAGTATTATTATACACACAAAATACATAGTAAATTGGTATAGCCAAGCCGCGAAGCTGCCAAGCTAAACACTTAAACCACAGTTTCGGCGTTGCTGCAATCAATACAAAATGGTTCTCGCGTCACTTGATTTGGCAAAAAAAAACAAAAATAGAAGAAAACAAAACCTCACAGTCCTCACACCACTCTACAAACAGACTACAAACGAGCTACAAACACAAGAGGTAAAAAGGCAAAATCAAACAGGAACAACTCAAGCACGGCGTCATATCAAAATGATGAGCCCTGCCAGTGTTGCCAGATGTCAAATTCAAAATTATCAGAAGAAGTTTGTGTCAATTTTTTTGACTTTCATCTCTAATCTCTATTTATATTTTTCTAACGAAAAAATTAACGAAAAAGAAACGGTGCTGCGAGCTCAACTCATTTCTAGTTGGTAAATGTTTGGTGTGCGCCCAGCAGTACGTCAAAACCACCAACCAAATAAATTTTTAATTTTCAACTAAAAATTTTAAAAATATGCATTGAAATTGTAGTTTCAATAATTTATGGTAGATTTAGCTTCTGATTATTGAATATTGAATCGTAGTCAAAATTATGGTAGATTTCGATAATTATCGGGTCATTGGCAACACTGCACCCAGTGCACACTGCACCCTGCCGTAGCCAAGCGACCGAAACGGCGGCGTCCCTTGTTTTCCACTCATTGGTTTATTTCTTGGTTCATTTCATGTTTATTTTAAACATTCGACCATTTATTTAGTTCAGGTACCTAAATGAACTATAAATCCTTGATTATATGACCTGCCTCACAAAACATTTATAATGACAATGTATTCTTATTTATTTAAGTTTAGATTTAAGGTTTAATAATAGGAATCCACGTCAGCCTGCATTTGGTTCACATACATTTGGTTTAGTAGGGTTTAGAGGTTAATTTGGAAGGCTTCCGTATATTCTGCTCGGAAATTGCATATTATTTAAAAATATATTATGATCAGGAATTGATAAAAAAAATCATGAATAGATGGGAATGATCCAGCTCGTCTTGTATTGTTCGTCTTTGAAACGAACATGTACGTCTTCTACAAGACGTACGCAATATAGATTTTCACGTACGTTCTTAGTACGTACTTTTTTGTCCGTATGTTAATACAGCTTTTTACGTACGTACTCAAAACGTACTTTTACATCCCGGACGAACCGACGTAAAAAGGACCTAAAATGTACGTCTTCAGTACGTACTGTGTTTGTTGGGTACTGGGATACGTCGAGGTGGTTGTCTAATTGGGTGTGCCAATCCAGTATCAATTTTTGTGTTGAATTAAACTGGTCCGTCCGGTTTGATTATCCATCACAAATACTTCCGCTTCTTTCAAGATGAAATCTGTGGCTTTTTGAAGTACCTGGATCGAGGTGTTTCCTTGATTTTTACAAAGTCTGCATCAAGGTGTCTGATCCAATTTCGGTTTTACAAAATGTCACTTCTTTGATAGGTCATAGTTCAATATTTGCTTAACTGGTTCGAGAGTTCCAATAATATTTCCTTTATTTTTACTGTTTCAGAAGAAAAGACAATTCTTATCAATGTCTGCATTTGTTGTTACCAGAATCTTTCCAACGTGTCTGGTGTATCTCCAATAAAATGATGTGTTAGTCCAACGCAGCACCCAGGGTTTGTTTCCAATTTTTCGCAAATGATCTCTTCAGTACTTCCAGGAATCCTCCAAATCTTAATGGCTTGAGATTCTTTTTGTATAGTTAGGACAAATTCTTCATTACCAAATTTAAGGATGTTCATAGAAGGATCGAAAGAAATACCATGTTGGCCGATCAAATCCATTTCCAAAATAAAATCATCTTCCATATCGGCGACTAATGTTCTGTGCCTAAAAGTAAAGCTTAACCATGGCTTCTCCTTGAACTTGTGCCGATTCGCTCGTGACTGTTCGTAGTGACAGGTTCCTAGTGAGTGGTTGGATTGCCAGAGACAACTAATGTTTTTCTAATTATAGAAACTTCAGCACCCGTATAATTTCACAATGTAATAATGCTAATTGAGAAAATAAGATTTTCATGACCTTTGATGTTGAATAACTGAAAACCCAAGCGCGATACTGATAGGGACTTTTAAGACATTATTTCTTGAGGTAGAGTAAAGGTGTAGACAAAATGTAGGCTCAGTCGGATTTCTTCAGCAGATGCTGCTTTTCCGGCCTAATATAACTGGAGTATTACTGCTGCCAACATTTAAACGAGGAACCTACCTATATAGATATTTTGTACATAATGTATTCTGGTGTTGAGCATTACTTACTGTTCTTGAAAACCTATTCCACAAATGCAAGATTGTTTTTTTGTGACGCTTTGTGAACATATTGGCCATCATATCTTCAGTTGTTCTAGGCATATTCAAGTTGAGTAATCAATGATGTCTTTTACAAAATATGTATCACCTATACATCAATTTGTTGAGTTTCTGTACATGATTGAGGATTAAACTTATGACTTGCGGATCCAGTCAACTTGTGAATATATTGAAACTTTTTTTGCTGCTTGCAAAATTTGGAATGACCTGTGAAAATTCGATCACAGCCTGATATATAAGGTCTCGAGCCAATTACATTTTGATAGGGCTTTCCTGAGTCTTTATTTTTTAATAGTAGTTTGAAACAGGTTCACAAATGTTATCATTTACTTCTTGTACGAAGGTACTCAGTTTGATAACAGGAGTTCAGGTTATTTTAGGAAACTTGCATTTCAAGGATATTTCTAATTCCCATTCCATAAGATAATATGTCTTCAATTATTTTTCCTTTTTTGTGTAAAATCAAAAAAGCTTCAACGTAAATTCCTGCAATCACCACTGAAAGAATGGGGATTAATTAATTGGATAATTTCTACTTCGCAGAAAATAACAAGTTTCACAGTAATGAAGCTTATACATATACATCCCACCCTCAACCCACAGCTAGATTTTACCTTCCTATTTATCTCAGTCCTAGATCTAAAAATACGCCAATAGCTTTTAACCTAATGAGATTTTGTTTTAATTACGGCAATTCTCAATTTAAATGAACAACAAAATTGAGTTTCTTAGAGTTCGCTTTGATATTATTCTTTGTCGGATGCCTTAAATAGGACCGAACACTGGAAATTCACTCGATTTATTTCTGAAAGGAATTCAAGAGCCGTTTTTGTTTAAAAGCATTGAAAACATGGTTTTAAAAACACTACAAATCTGAAATACTAATTCTCTTCTTTACAAAAATGGCTTAGCAGGGGTGTTCATTAATATTTTGAGATTATTGAAATAATAACCAATAATACATTTAGATATTTCATCTTCATATTTTTTATTCTATAATTTAATTGTCAAACTATTAATAAAAACCCATTTAGTACCGTCTGTGGTTTTAGAACAAGTGAGAAATATTAGGTAAAAACAAAACCAAAAGACAAGAAAAATATACACTCCAATATAAGGGTAAGAAAAAACAAGAGATTAGGTACAAAAGGCCGGAAAAAAATTGCAATATAGCCATCAGTGAGTTCCACTCACATTGCTGCCCGAGGCGGCCTTTGGGGTAGCTCGATTTTGCTCTTGAGAGGGTGATATTTCGGCGTGGAGCACCTTTTGCAGTTCTAGCACCTACAAGCCACATTAGACCAACTATACACCAAAGCTACTTGTTGTTAGACACACAACATTTACACCTGTTTTTTCTATCACTTATTTTAATATTCCCAATACCCTAAATAATGCAAAAAAAACTAAATATAAACAAAAAACATATTAGCAAGAATGGATTTTAGTACTATTACTGAGATTGTTCCCTTTATTCGAGAACTACTAAGGACTTAAAATCCATTCCAACATAAGATAAGGCATTGATTAACAAAAAAAAAAAACAAATAATGAGCAATTATTAATTGCAGACTTGACGGAAAACCTTAGAGCGTACCACCAACACTGAACTGATCAATCTAAAAAAATGTTTCGTATCAAGTCTGTATTTTTTGAAAATGTTGGGCAGGGAATTTAAAATTTAAATAAAACATGGACATGGCCATGCAACAACTCATTTCCTGCACAGGGTGATTTTTTGGTAAAAATGCATTTTACCTAAGAGTTATTTACGAAAAATTTAAAAAAAAAAACCCATTTGAACAAACAATTTTAACGCTAAATGAATGAGAGAATTAGGAAAACTTTATTTTCAGTTCTTACTTTTATTTTTTCTAACTTGTGCTGATGGGTACATAAAAGTAGGAACCAAAAACAATCCCCACTAACCCAACATGATGACAAAAACACAAAATTTGAAAGAAAAAAAAAAGTGGAATAAGCGCTCTACTAATTTTTAAAATTCCACTCACATTCCCACTAGACTGGGCACCTTGTTGTTCACCCGTGGGGTCTCTGTGAAGCACCCTCTGCAGGTCTGCTACCTATAAGCCATTACATTATACAGGGTGTTTTTAATTCATATTCTTATTAATATTCTCATCATATTTCAAAAATACTAATGGAATAATAAAATGTAAAAGTGGAGGTTTTGACGAAAAGGCTAAAGTCTTAGACTTTGCTAAAATATAGGCAGATTATTTTTTATTTACTCTGGGAATAATAGTGACCCTTTAAAGCTTACTTTTCATTAATCCGTTACTTTGGCGCCAAAATATTGGACCAATAGGAATACTTCCGGATCAACGGATTGACGGCAAAACGGATGCATGAAAAGTGAGTTTAAGGGAGGATTTTCATGCATCCGTTTTTCCGTCGAAATATGTCCGTTTAACATTCTATTCTGACATAATCGTATATAATTATGTCAAAATAGAATGTTAAACGGACATATTTCGTCGGAAAAACGGATGCATGAAAATCCTCCCTTAGTGTTGATGACAGCCAGCTTCAAAAGTAGCTTTAAATCTCAAAAAAGATAGAGGTAGGTATACCTACAGTGAGTTCATAATATCTGAAAGAAAATGATTATTATGAAAACAGTAAAATAACAAAATAAAAAAATCTTGTTGCAGGTTTTCAACAGTTTGAAGGAGGTTTTTGTTAATAAAATGGACATTTTCTATTAGAATTTTACTCAAATACGTACTAACTACATACTTTTATATAGCAACAACTACCTACTTCTTATCTTGTTATATTGCTTGTAGGTTGTAGGAGAATATATGAAAAACTTGCTAAGCATTAATATTTCAACTCCTGTCTATCTGAAGCTTCCTACTTCTTGAAAGTTATAATGATTTTATTTCAGGCTTTGTGAACTCACTGTCAGTGTTTATTTTGTTCAATCGTATATTTTTAATAATATGGGAAAAATTAAAAAACACCCTATATCAAACATCTAATCAATCAGTCAAAATATCATGGTGCACTACTTGTGCAATCTAGATCCAGATACCATTTAGATTAAAAACAATAGCAAAATATCGCAAACTTGAATATGCGATATTGTGCAATAACCATTGTAATACTGTTAAAAAATTATTAAATGTTTCTAATAATGAAGCAAAAATCAATATAGATTATCTAGTTCTAGATTAATTAAAATTATCGGTCTTGAATCTAGCTTTAAATAATTAAACTTGTGCGATTGGTGCACCTTAGAAATAGTTTGATGGAATGCATATGGGTGCTTACTAAAATAAAACAACTGAATTGACGAATTATAATAATTTGAGGTGCCAAGAAATTTAAAATTATCTTAAAACAAATCCTTTCTGTTTAGGTTCTCTAGTTACATTTTCCTGGCACCTAAATAATTATGATTAAAAAAAAAGATGATTAAAAAATTTTGATACGAAAAATAAACAATAAACTTACCAAAACTATATTTGATTCTTGCTTACTCACATTATTATTTGTCTATTGCCTACTTTCTGTTTAGTGGTTAGGTGGTAGTAGTACACTTACCGCATCCTAGAAATTTAAACGACACCATCATGCAATAAACTTTAGACATCTACTAGAAACTATATGAGTTACTTATAATTAGAATTAATAAGGTTATACTGCTACAAATACAAGGTATTTATATTTTTCTTTAACGACCACAATTTATATTTAGTAGATAAAATGACTTTTATAAAAACAAACGCGAAAAGTAGAATAATTCCATTTTTTTTTTAACTGAGCCTTAGTAGGTAATGAGATAATATTTGTTAAAATGTATTAAGCTTATAAGTCATTTAAGCTAGGTTTCGTTATGGTCAATCCGTGCTAGATTTTATGCATACATAAAAGTCATTTAGTCTCACTAAATTATTATGTATTAACATCGGATACTGGGGCAAACTCATTAATTCAATGATATACTCATAATCAACAAATAAAATTATACCAACCCTGTAAATTATAAGATTATATTAAATTCCTTATAAGGGGTCGATAATACCATGCAATTCTTCACATAGAACGTTAGGGAAAGAAAATCTTTATAATGCACTGCACACGTCTTACAATTCGAAGCTTATAGAATTAAAGGCTAAGTATTTCACGAAAGAATTTCATTATTTACGTACCTATGTTATTGGATAGCTATAATCTATTTAAAAAATACGAGGTATTTTTTTTTTAATGGAATAGACATTATTGTAAAAATTATTGGGAAAAAGGGTAAGCATATAAACATTTATTTCACCAAAACGTCGTTTTCAAATTCATAATGTCGAGATATGTTTTTTGATTCTGAAAAATAATCAGAGAGAGTTATTTCAGTAAAATTTTTGCGGATTCACTTTAATCATTATCATAGGCGATCACTCGATACCGAGTATGATTATTTTCTATTATCTTCCTATTATCGTCGATATGTGCGTTTTCTGATGGGTATATAACCCAATTCTGGAGCCGCACACTCTTCCACAGTCTTGGCACATCCAGCCTCTGGCTGATTTTTTGATATGTTGTATCTGATGAGGTATAGTAATGACAAATCCGAGTTTTCGACCTCGAAAGCCTTCCGGATCATTGTTAAATAGTACTAAAACCGCTAAATGTTCACCTTTTTTTTCACTTTTTCTATAGTTTGACCACCACGGACCAACGTTACGGCAAAAGTCGTGATGTACAATTCTGAAGTAAACAAAATTTGACTACTAAGGACCCATTCAACGGCAAAAATATCATATATAATATTGAGAAGGACTAATTTTTTCAACAAATGATAATTATTTGGTTTTTTTAGACTTAATAGTTTTTGAGGTACAGCTGTCCAAAGTTGATGACGTCAGTAAGTACGTAATATATTAAAAAGGGCTTGTAAAATAAACTACGACTGTTAAGGAAATATGTAGTTATTATAAATTATTCAAAAAATCATTGTAGCAAACATAAAACCATGGTTTGATTATCTTTTATCTAACATGAAATATTATACATACAGTGTGTCCCGCTTAAGGACTCACCACCCTTGTAAATTTTTTATTTTTCAACCGATTCAATTAATTTTTTTTTTGTCTTATATCTACTCGAATTTTGGTAGGTATTTATTAAACTCATAATTTTGTTTCTGCGGCTGTACTGGTGTACAGGGTGTCCACATTTATAGGCTCAAATTTCAATAAGTACTATTAGGGATTTTTGAAGTGAATACTTCTTTGGCCGCATGAGAGTGATTTTTCAAGGTCGCGTCACGACACGATTTATAAAATTTTCGTCTCGCAAGTGAGATGAAGCATATGATGAATATGAAGGAGAGAGAGAGAGAGAGAGATGGTGAATGAAAGAGAGTATTGTTATTAACGCATTAATGTAATATGTACAGGGTATTTGATTATATTTGGCACCATACCTACAGCCTTTATTATTTAAGATAGAAAATAAATTCAAATACAAAAATTGACAGTTTTTTTCTATATTTTCATTTAACGATATCATAAAAAACAAAATCGCATCGGAAAATGGAGAAACGTAGGCAACTTCGGCTTTTTTTAATGGAACACCCTGTATATTATGCGATAAAATGAAAGATCTTTTCTTCCTTATTCCAAATATATATACAGGGTGTTCCGAAATTAATGCACCAAATTTTTATGGCATATTCTACGTCGAAAATAAACCCTGGTTTCCTATATAAACATATGTCCGGAAACGCTTCCTTTCCGAGATACAGGGTGTTGAAATTCTAAGAAAAAAACTATTTTTCTATCATAACTTTCAAACCACTCTAGATATTTCATTGAAATTTTGTACACTGCTTTCAAGCAGCAAAAGACATTTTTTGATATGAAATTATTTAAAAAAAAAATTACCAGTGACGTCCGTACCAGATTTCAATGGAATATTTTTCAAGAAAAAAATGGTGCGCCACTGCTTTTTTCTAAAATAAAAATCATTTTTTAAATCCTCATTCAATTTGGAATAAATTTGATCTCTACACTTTTTTCTGAAAGATGCACCATTTTCAAATAAAAAATAAAGAACTATTTTGGGGCATGGCGAAATCGTGAAAATTATGATTAAAATGCTAAACATTAAACACCTAAAGTTTCAAATTATTTCTGTGACGTCAATGATTTTTTTTTTCAAATATTTCATATCAAAAAATGTCTTTTGCTGCTTGAAAGCAGTGTACAAAATTTCAATGAAATATCTAGAGTGGTTTGAAAATTATGATAGAAAAATAGTTTTCTTTCTTAGAATTTCAACACCCTGTATCTCGGAAAGGAAGCGTTTCCAGACATATGTTTATATAGGAAACTAGGGCTTATTTTCGACGTAGAATATGCCATAAAAATTTGGTGCATTAATTTCAGAACACCCTGTATATTGATCACATTTGGGTAAGCCGTTTTCGATATATCTTAGGTTAAATTATAAATAAAATCCAAAGAAATTTTATAAGGATTTGAATGTCTTGACATCCTTGTGAAATTTCTTTGCAAATTATTTATAATTTAAGTTAATATATGTCAAAAACGGCTCACTCAAATGTGATCAATATATATATATATATTTGGAATCAGGAAGACAAGATCTTTAATTTTATCGCAAAATATACAGGGTGTTCCATTAAAAAAAGTTGAAGTTGTCTACGTTTCTCCCTTTTCCAATGCGATTTTGTTTTTTCTGATAACGTTAAAAGAAAATATAGAAAAAAACTGTCAAGTTTTGTATTTAATCTTTTTTCCTATCTTAAATAATAAAGACTGTAGGTATGGTGCCAAATATAATCAAATACCCTGTACAATACATTTCTCTCTCTCTCTCTCTCACTCACTCACTCACCCTCAACGAATCGATAAATAAGTATTCGCTTCTATCACGTGTACTGTGCTGCACGCGACTTTTTTTTTTAGAAAGAATCTGATAGCAAATTCTTGTTCAGAATAGTCTAAAATCCAAATGTACTAATTTTTGTTTCAATACGATACAGGGTGGTCACAATAAATTTTCAAAATTTAATGAATCAAACCGCAAAAATGTC